TAACCCCAAAGGTCGGGCCTTTAGGCCCTGGTGTGTCCCTCCGGCCCTAAGTCGGGTCCGGTAGGACCCGTGTGAGTCGAAGATGTAACACTGCACTACCAATCAAGTAACCAAGTCACCAAACGCCTACATCAACTTGCAGAATTTTACAACATAATTGATAGAGGCTACAGTGAATTGTAACGTGGAGTCGTCTATACTGTGTACATCTGTCTTTTTGTTCTTCAGGCTGAAATACTCGTCTACGCCGATTTTCTCTCTAAGAGAGCCCTCAAAGGTGTCACTCAAGTGACTCAACCGCAGTTAATTAGACGACTCTCAATGGGAAGAAGAAGTCCTCACAGAAAGACCGACCGGGCTGAGAAGATCTACACATTTGACATAAGAAGAGCAAAAATAGTAACTCACTGTGTCAAGCGTAGCTGCAGCCGCGCGATTCCGTTACCTCTTTATTTGAAACCAATACTTTGTGCACTATGAATAAAGCATTGCCACCCGATTGAGCAGGTCTTCAAGTGGTCTATACTGCATAGCTGAGCAGGTCTTCAAGTGGTCTATACTGCATAGCTGAGCAGGTCTTCAAGTGGTCTATACCGCCTAGCTGCAGTCGTCGTGTAGTCCACCTGTGTTGCCCAATCACGCCTGTCACCAGTATGATGTGTCACCACACATTGCCAGCCCCCTTTCTCGCACACACCTCCAATGCCTTCCACCCTCGCTCAGTCATGCTTCCCGCTTGGTCTCACCACCCTTCGCCATGCACATGACAATCGGAGACTGCCTCTCGAAACAATACCCCACCGCAAAGTGCGCACTCTGTTGTGTGCCAAGCAGTACAGTCCCTGCCCTGATACCAATGTTATGAGACCGCGTACCTTGTCGTGGTCGTGTCAGATACCACGCATGCATGCACCTGCCCAGAACAACTCAAATCTCCAACAGCAATCAACTCACTCTTCATAATCTCCTCCTGACTCGTCTTGAAACTCAGTAGCTGCTTCATGATCATGCATGATACTCTCAGCTGAAGCCAGGTAATGGCCCCGGTACGTCAAATTGTTCCATATACGTTCTCATATGGGACATTGGGCTCGGCAGCACGTGCTGCTCCCCACAAATAAATTGGACCACCCGCGGCTCCCCACGAATTAATTGGAGCACTGGTCCCACAAAAAGCGAAAAACGAAAAAGCTGCTAACTTGGATTAGAGTAGAATCGAGATTACCCCGACTCCGGCGACTCGGCTTCTCCGTGCAGCCTCCTAAACGCCATCCACGAGTATTACTATCGTTCAAGTTGTGTGCATAGTTCACATGCAAGGCAAACCACCAATCAAGAAACTGCCTCAAGAACATCCAATCCACCTCTCTGTGTCCTCATCCCACAGTAGCCTGTCATTTGTGCACGCTACCACCATAGCTGCACACAGCAGCAAGCAAGCACACTCATCTTCTTCTTCGATGGCATTAAGGCTCTGGCTCTGAGTAGCACAGATTAGCGCTGCTTGCGTTAGCGCAGTTCTAGCGCTGTACGGCACTGCGTTCCCGTAGCCTCGCAGCATTCCTTCCAGTGTGTTGACTGGGCAGGTCGGCTGACTTAAGCAATTGCCAGCATGCCAGTCAGTTGGCCTTTGACCCCACTCATGACGTACCAAAGTCAGTTGTGATTCTTTTTTTTTTTTTTTTTTTTTTTTCAGTCGTGGTTTCTCCAGTACCACGCACCATTCCACATTTCTGCCAGGGAACGAAATACCAGAAGGTCCTGCCTGGTACCCTATATCAACTAAGGCCTACCGAGTTGGCCAAATCTTTGTCAGACCATTCATTTCCAGGTAAAAGTCCCAGTGCGAAAATGGGCGAAAGGTTTGGAACTTTGGAAGTGAATTTCAGAAAAGCCAAACGAATTGACAGTTAAACAGTCTCTAAAATAGCAAGGACGAAACTGAATCACACCAAACCACACAAGACACAGTCTAATCACAAATATGGTACACTTCGCGTGAACTGTAAAACCATGGGTCCTTTTCACTAGCCGTTAGGCTGTTGGCAGGTATACGTACCGATGACACCCATCAGTGCGACATCTTGTGCTGTACTCTGGTGCAGAGCATTACGTGTGAGCACAACATTGAGTTGCTGCTAGTGCTCTCCTCAAGGCATCCATTCATCATCCTCAGCGTCCAAATGAGAAATTTTATCGCCCTCTTCCTCCTCACTGAACCCAGCGACACTGGTATTAGAACGGGAAAAGACCTGCCTTCCCACACATACTCTGGACATAGGCGCACCAGGACCCCTGCCATGCAGCAGGAGGAGGCTCTACCTTGGAAGCCGTCATGTCCACGACATCGCTGGTGTGAACGACTTCACCATAGACGGCCAGATTCAAGCATGAGTAAGCACTTAGAGCTCCTGATAGCCCCCACAAAAGTGTTGGATGTTTGCTTTCTTAAACCACCAGAATGTGCGAGGGTCTTTTTCCCAACGAAGATTTTTGCGGCACGCTAATTCCAGCCATTTGGGACGACATGTGATTTGCCTGGCGACACCAGCCTTTCTCGTCTGGTAGGCCAAGCTCCTACGGATGTGGTGGTTAAAGCGCCGTTTCTGAACAAAGTAACTGGGAAATGTACAGGTGCTTGAAAATGTGTCATCTGTTCTTGTAAGCCCCCACCAGCCCCCACAAAAGTGTTGGATGTTTGCTTTCTTAAACCACCAGAATGTGCGAGGCTCTTTTTCCCAACAAAGATTTTTGCGGTGCGCTAATTCCAGCCAAACTGGGACGACATGCGATTTGCCTGGCAGCACCATCCTTTCTCATCTCGTAGGCCAAGCGCCTAAGGATGCGGCGGTTAATGCGCTGCGCTAATTCCAGCCAAACTGGGACGGCATGCGATTTGCATGGCGACACCAGCCTTTCTCATCTCGTAGGCCAAGCCCTTAAGGATGCGGCGGTTAATGCGCCGTGTCCAAACAAAATAACTGGGAAATGTACTGGTGGTTGAAAATGTGTCATCTGTTCTTGTAATGGTTGATTCGTGTGTGACATCTGCAAGCACTTGTTTGAACTCTCCCTGCTCTCATCGTATGTGTTCACCTCTGTCTATTTCTCTTTGTGTGATTAAGCCTTTGAGATTCAAAAGGTTGACCTCTCAACCCTTCTCTTCCCCTCATAAAGCTCTTTGCCTTGTTTGAACTCTCCCTGCTCTCATCGTATGTGTTTTAGGTTCAACAAAGGCATTCTGGGCCCTTGTGATAGCTCAGGGACTTATGGTGGCATTCTTCTCCTGGGTGATTTTTGAGACGGTACGTGGCAACTATGTGCAAGCTCCATAATCTAGGTACCTTACCCCCCCTGCATCTGAGAATAATGTGCACTGACTGTCCTCAGAAGATAATTGACCTGTTGCCATCTGAGCATAAAATCACACCTGGATATGATGAACCATTTAACCAAATGCTGAATCCATTCAGAGACCTGTCTGCAAGGAACCTGACTGTTCACAGTTTGCTCGAGTGCATCAAACCGCATGCATACATGTCATCACACGTACAAAGTGGTCTCACACAAAACCAGATTGAGAGGAGATAAGAACCAAGTAGCACAGCTTATATTATCAATGTCACTTAATACAAAGAGTATCATGAGTTCCAGAGCTCAACGCCAACAAGAGGTAAGTCTCCCTCGTCATACAACAGCATGGGACCTGGCTCAGCCAGCGTCCTCCTTCTGATCACAAGTGTGGCGCCAACAGGTAAGTGTCCACCATATCCAGATTCACTCCCTGTCTTCTTGATCTCTTCTCTCTCTCTCCAGAACTCTGTCCTGGTTCTCTTACCCCACTATGCATTCACACTCTCACCTACGAAGATCTACTCTGAATGTCACTCACTGATACACCACGACTGACTAACCCTGCTACTACTAACATAGGCTGGCGCAGCTATGGCTTCCCTGCAGCCAGCGCCCAGCCTCCCTTCTTCCTAGCGCAGCTCCTCTTCAGTCAGCGCCTCTCCCCGCACTATAGCGCACAAGTGCCTCAGCACTTCCACGCTTCCATGCCTATGGGAATCTGCCTGTGGGGGAGGCTGCCTCGTTTCTTATAGTGCTGGCCTCCCCTGGCGAGGTCTGAATGCTGTCTGTCCTGGTCCTTTCCCAGTCCCAGCCTCTGTGTATGTGTCCCAGATCCCTTTCCTTCAGGGGTTGCTGCTGCTGCGGGCTTCAGGCCTTGATTTCGGACTCCCAATCTGAATCTAGACTTTCTCCCTGACTAGAATCTGGACTGGAACTTAACTCTTTGACTTCTGCTGGACAGACACACCTAATGCACGAACAGACACTCTTCTGTAAGAACAGACACTCTTCTGTACGAACAGACACATTGACTGTACGTACAGACACATCCCTTGTCTGAGTAGATACGAATTGCATTGCCTCTGGTGAACAGATGTGACCCACAAATCCAAACATGACGACTGTTTGTCCAGGGCTCAATCACGACCTTTGACATTGTCTTTACTTTAGCCAGGATGTGACCTTTGACCCAGAGAACATGTCTTTTGATCTGCTTTCACGAATTGGGCTCTGGGCGAGGAACCCCAATATGCTGCTTTCGTCGAACAGGGGCTGAATCGGGTAAAGACCCTCTTACGTCTCCAATTTGCAACTCTCTCCTTGCCTCATTGTCTCCAATAGGATTTGAACTCTTGATCAGTTTATCAACACTGCACATAGTTGCAACAACTTCATGAGCTTGGAAAATTTGTCATGCGACTGAAGAGCGTTGCCGATAGAGGGTCGTCAATACAGAGGGCAACTGCCGCAGGTTGCAGAAAAAGAGGCACACTGCGAAGATCTGTCGGCGATCGGAGAGCAGCCTTCAAGACGCACCTCGAGTCCTCGCGTTCAGCTCACCGTAGCCATTTTAGAAGGATTCACTATGACGGACTTCTGCTGCGTGCCAATTTCAAGACGAACCAGTTATGGCACTCCTTTTTTTTTCGTTCTGGCTGGCGCCGCGAGCCACAAGGAGGTCGAGCCCTCCAAGAGTGCACTGGTGGTCAATTTCGTCGCAAAAGTTTGCATGCGAGAGGTAGTGGTGGTTTAACTGCTTCCCCAATTGCTTCCACACACACCGTTGTTACTTCTTTTCTTAACAGGGCCTTATGGTCGCGGCTCAACTCTATTCTAGGGAGCAGCAGTCTGGTTGCTTTTCCAATGGAAAAGGGTAACATGTGAGCATTCACTCTATCATTAGCCTGGAATTAACCTGGGCTAAGAGCTCTAACACGGCGGTTACCGTTAGCCTGGGAACCATGCTCTAGGGTAGCCCCCAGTCCGAACCAGGATAGTTCTACAGAACTGTCATCCTATGGAGAAAAAGGGATCCATAGAGTCTGAAGCTGGTCTCATCGGGAACGACTGACATAGAGGGCTCATTAGACACTCCTCGGGCACGCAAAATCTACAAGGACGTGATCGTTCCACCGATCCTCGAGGAAGAAATTGGAAAAAAAAAGTGAAAACATTTCCTCGAGGAATCTTTGTAGCGTCCCTGTGGCCCAGCCATTTGGTGCCCTGGTGCAAGGGACCTTGCGAGGTCCCTCAGAGCTCAAGGATCCCCGATAATTGGAGCGGCGAAGGCACGCGTCATCGACAACTTTCTTCTTTCAGCTGGTCCATTGGTGTTCCGCCAGCGCGACTGCACGGACATCTTCAGGCCTCAACGTTGGGATTTAAGGCAACGGGTCGCCAACGGTTACTGTGAGAGGACGGCTGTCGTCGGGGTTCGTCTTCAATTGGGGCTCTTGCCGTGGTGCGTCCCGCCAGCTTCGTAGGGCTTCTACAGTTGGGAAAATTGAATGTTTTTCCCGATCCCCCTCCCACATCCCCACTCATGTCGGCGAGGTGTGTCGTATGCTGTTCTCTACCGTTTGCTCCCTTCATCGTCGCCGTTTGGTGGACCTCCACCGTCGTCATGCAGTTACGGACCTATCGTATGTGTTGTTGACGGCTGACCTATATTGAAGGCTGCCACTGCTGCTCCTAGTCGCAATTTTGCTTGGCGTGGTCCTCCTTTTCCACGCGTGCATCCTCGGCTCCTCCGTTGTGTCAGCGCATATATCACATTCAAAGTAGGGGACAAAGTCTGGCTCTCCGCTGAACGCTTTGAACCCGAACATGGCTTGTCCAAGAAACTCTCAAACAAGTGGCTCGGTCCATTCCCCGTCATTGAACAAACATCCCCTGTAAATTACAAACTTCAACTACCCCCTTACATGAACCGTGTTCATCCTGTCTTCCATGTCGAGTACTTGAAAGAATACCATGAATCACCTCCACAATTTGCCGACCGCCCTTATCCTAGACCTCCACCAATCATGCCACCTACCTGGCCAGAATTCGTGGTAGACTCTATCATAGGACGAAAAACAACTAAAGTATCATAGAATTCGATGACCCTGAACCAGTCACTGAATACAAAGTCAAGTGGACCGGATACCCAGATTGAGAATCTACATGGGAACCCCTCGATAATCTGAAGAATGCCATGAAACTTGTTCGAGCCTATGATCATGCGCACCCTGAATCCTAGCTATATAGTACGCATAACACCAATATACCTTGCATAAACCCTGCCTCATTGCTCTACACACACCCCCTGCACCCAGCAAAACCCCTGCCCCCCGGCCTCTCTCTGTCTGATCCGCTCTTGCCTACGTCTCGTTCCCCAATCTGTCCTCTGCCACGTCCTCTGTCTCTCTTGTCCAAGCCTTACCTGTGCCTCCTGCGCATCACCGGCGATAAAGGATCTAATGGCAAGCGCACGAGGACGATGGCCTGCAGCAGCAGAGTTCGAGGAGATTAAGCAGCTGGTTGGCCACCCTGCTGTCCCATTGGCCGGCACCTGGACTCGCAGACTTCTGGAGCAGCACTCTTGACATGGACATCAGGATCAGTCTGCGACCTGCAATCCAGATCAGACTTCATCATCAGGATTGTGTACAGTACGCACTCTGGTACTTGGACCTTCATCTATTGGACTGCTACACTATTTCTTTCAAGCTGGACCCCTTGCTAGTACACATCGCAAGCCTGCTGAAGACTGGTTTATCATCAGCATTCTGTACCTGGACTTACTTCAAGACTCTCAGCCAGACCATTTTGCAGAACCTGCGATTTCCCCCCCAACCCCATTCACTTCGAGATCCTCAGAAACCCCAACCCCCGAACAATGCAAAATAATTTTGCTTTCCTTTATTTTTGTTCACAGAACCCTTTTGCCCAATAGTTCATCAGTGCAACAACCCTGTTCCCCCCTCAGATCATAACCCTGTAGTCCATCAGTAGGACAACCCTGTTCCCCTGCAGTTCCTAACTCTGTAGTTCATTAGTAGGCAAACTCGGTTCCCTCTCAGTAGTCCATCAGTAAGCATACCCTGTAGTTCATCACTAGGAAAACCCCGTTTTCCCCAACCCTTGCTACCCACAGTATACCTCTCTGCGGCTCTCTCCCTGTTTCTCCCTGCTTCCCGGTGATCGCCCCTGTCCCGTCCTTCACAGGATTGAGCATTATTTTCATGACTCTTGGCAGCCGGGACGTTGCCTCCTAGAGGGAGGGGATAGTGTTATTGACTCCGCCAGGGCTCGATCCCTGGTTTGCGGATTACCATCCGCCAGCTTGCGGTATTTATTTTCTTTTTCTTGTTTTTGCAATTCTTTTGTTTTGTTTTACTTTGTTTTTGCTTTTCCGATTTCAGACAGTTGGCGCCATCTGCATTCTGGCGCCCGTTTTTTTTTTTTTTTTTTTTTTTTT